TGCCAGGCAGGACGGGCTCCAGCTGCTCAAGGTGGGAATGCTGGGGGAACTGGGAATGCTGGGAGCACTGGGAATATTGGGATTGAGGGGTCGAGGGGGGCTGGGAGCACTGGGAGCACTGGGATTGGAGGGACAAGACAGGCTCAAGGTGTACTGGGAACACTGGGAGAACTGGGACTGGGGGGACAGGACAGACTCAGGGTGGGCTGGGAGCACTGGGAATACTGGGATTGGGGGCTCCAGGTGCTCAAGGTGCACTGGGAGCACTGGGATTGGGGGACAGGACAGGCTCAGGGTGTACTGGGAGCACTGGGATTGGGGGGACAGGACAGGCCCAAGGTGTACTGGGAGCACTGGGATTGGGGATTCCAGCTGCTCAAGGTGAGCTGGGAACACTGGGATTGGGGGCTCAAGGTGTACTTGGAACACTGAGATTGGACTCAGGGTGGCCTGGGAGCACTGGGAATACTGGGATTGTGGGCTCCAGGTGCTCAAGGTGCACTGGGAGCACTGGGATTGGGGGCTCAAGGTGTACTGGGAGCACTGGGAGCAGCTCCAGCTGCTCAGGCTCCGATTCCTCCTGAACCTTTTCCTCTCTCTTCTCTCTCCATTTCCCACCCAGGACATCAAAAGCACCTTCATCAGGTCAGTCCTTCCCACTGGAATCTCCTGGGAATTTGGGAGGGGGGAAAAACCCACCCTGGGGGGGCTTTTCCAGCCGGGAATTCCTAAGGGGAAATTCCACAGATGGAATTTTGGGATGGTTGGGGAAGGCTGGGAAGGGGCCCGGGAGCCCCCCCAGGTCTCGTCATCTCCCTCCCAAACAGCCAAATCCTAATTTTTCCCCCTCTTTTTCCCCCTTTTCCAGGTGTGAGAACATCAAATTCCAGGAGCCCGAGATGGTGCCCGTGGATGTGGGGAAGAAATTCCGGAATTGTTTCCTGCAGGACGTGGTGATGAGGAAGATGGAAAAGGTCTTCAACAAAGTGCCCCAAGGTGGGGGATAAAGGGCTGGGAATTGGGGTTAAAAGGGTGGAAATTGGGGTTAAAAGGGGTGAAAGTTTGGGGTTAAAAGGCTGGAAATGGGAGGCTGAGGGGGTGACAACAGGGGGGTTAAAGGGCTCGGGGCTCTGCAGGTGACACTTTGAGCTCAGGGACCCCCCCAAACTGGCTCCCAATGGGGTCCCTGAGCCCCCCAACCCCCCTGTGTCCCCCCCAAAATGGTTCCCAGCGGGGTCTCTGGGTGACACTTTGAGCTCAGGGA